GAAATCGTAAGTGAACATGGGAGATATAGAGAGATAGAGAGAGCGTGCGCAAGGGAGAGAGAGGGGAAAGAGAGGAAAGGGTAGAGCGAGGGAGAGAAACAGAGACAGAGAGAGAGAGAGAGAGAGAGAGAGAGAGGGAGAGAGAGAAGGGGAAGAATGGAAAGGGAGAGTGAGGGAGAGGGATCTTTGAACTAGTTACAGGCACGTGGCATCGCCTATATAAACAACCCAGTGTAGCAACATACAGAGTTTCCAAATAAAATAGTCGATGCGCATCATTAGATCAGGGGCGTGTACAGGATTTGTACCAGGGGGGTCTAACTGTAACCCAAACTTGTGAGCACGCGAAGGGGGGGTATGGGGGACCCTCCCCCAGATTTTTTTTTTAATTAGATTCCCTTGGATGCGTTTTCTGCGCGAGCAGGGGGGGGTCCGAACCTCCTGGACCCCCACCCCCTGTACACGCCCCTGTAGATGCATCAGCTTCTTCTGATAAAGCCTCGACGACATTGAACGTGGATCCCGCTCTCTCTTTAATACTCGATCTGATCGGCAATAGAAGAACACAATCGGACGCAAGGCGATGTCGGATGACAAGCAATTTTCTGTTCGACGATGTGGGCTGCAGCGGCGTCAGGGCCCGCATTTAATAATGTTTGATCTGTGACGGAGTAATACAGAAACATCTCATTATCTAGATTTCCGTAGTGTCGTGACAACGGTTGTTTACACATGATAGGAAGCGGACTATCTGCGCATGCGCCGGAAAATCTCGCTAATAATGTCAATTTTGAATTTGGCGATGTGCGGTGTACTCTTTTCATCTTGACTTTTAAACAATGTAATCGAGGTTTTATCGCGAAAGTGAAGGCTTTTATTGACAAAGCAAATTGCATGATTGAATAGCGCAGTACGGTGTTGATATAGTATAAATTATTTAGTGAAATGCTGCGACGATGAAAGATCAGCAGCCCTATATAGGTTATAACGGCGTTAATATGTCACGGATGAAAACTCGAACATGTGACAATGTCACGTGTCATCACGTCACGTGACCCAAGAATAACGACTTAACTGTCGCACGCGCGCGTGCACACGCACACGTCCTCACACACACACACGTCCTCACACACGCACGCGCCCGCGCGCACGTACGCGCGCCCGCATGCACGCACGCACGCACGCACGCACGCACACGCAACCAGCACCACTATGCGTTTACGATCAATAATAATCAGTCATTCGCACTGTTCGCATGTTTGCGATCCACTCCACTGTTCCTTCCTCACCAATCCTCTTTCTAACTCCTATCACTACTTAGCGGCGCTTCCCACACAAATAAAATCAACGCTCAACGTTTTTATCCCGTTGTTTCACAGACTCTCCTCCGCCGTCAGATGGCGCCCCACACACATTATCCCGCCGGCGGCTCTCGGTCCGTTTCCGTTTTCCTGCAACACCGTTTCCGTTCACAATGCGACGCTCGTCTTCAGCTGCAGTGGCGCCCCCGCACTCGTGCTTCTCCGGTCGAGCTTCGTCTCTCCATTGATCGGCGTCTCGACCGAATCGTCGTCGCTCTGCGAGCAACGACACGCGATCATCTCCCGGAAGTGACGTCGGTAGTTCTCGTTGAAGTAACCGTAGAGCAGCGGGTTGGTGGCGGCGTTCAGTAGACACGTGATGACGCACCACGTGTAGTGCGTCGACGTCAGCGGTACGGTCGTGTAGAGCAGGAGGATGTTCAGGATGAAGAACGGAGTGTACATCGCAGCGAAGAACAACACCACGGTGACGAACAACTTGATGAGTCTCAGCTGGCTGCTGTTCATCGCTGCAGCGTTGTTCCCCCGCGCGCGCTTGTGCGACAGACGAATCGTGTAGAAGATACGCGCGTAGTTCATAGCGATGAAACACGTCGGAATGACGAGCAGGAATATCGTCGCCACCATGATGTACAGTTTGCCGTCGATGCCATTCGGCCAGATGATCGTACAGAAGAGATAATTCGGTCCGTAGAAATCTCCGACTTGGAAGGCGAGGCCGAGCGGGACAGAGATCGCGCACGCCATCAGCCACATGGCAGCAGCCACCAGAAGCGCTTGCGTTATCGTTAGAGTGTGCCAGTGAGGGTGGCAGACGAGAACCCAGCGATCGAAGCTGATTGCCATCATCGTCAGTATGGAGCTGCTTCCGCAGATAAACATGAGGAAGAAGACGATGTCGCATAGCGTGTCTCCGAGCACCCACTGTACGGTGACCTTGGTCGTGATGATGAAGGGTATTCCGACCATGAAGAGAAGGTCGGAGAGCGCCAGGCTGCCGATGAAGACGTTCGTAGACGTGTGCATGCGCCTGTGCACGATAATCACATGCATCACCTGCAGAGAGAAATACAACACGATATATACAGAGTTAGACCGAGTGATAGACTCTATGTACAATGCAAACCCCCTCTCTCCCCCCCCTCTCTCTCTCCCCTCTCCAGCTTAGTGTGTGCGTGTGTGTCGCGTGAGCGGAACAGCGGTCAGCAGCTAGTGTGTGCGTGTGTGTCCGTGAGCGGAAGCAGCGACAGCAGCTAGTGTGTGCGTGTGTGTCCGTGAAGCGGGAACAGCGGGCAGCAGCTAGTGTGTGCGTGTGTGTCCGTGAGCGGGAACAGCGACAGCAGCTAGTGTTGCGTGTGTGTCCGTGAGCGGTGAAGCAGCGGCTAGGAAGGAAGATTAGCCACTAGGCTCGGCCGTGCGCGCGCGTGCGTGGCGTGCGTGTTTGTGTGGCATGCGTGCGTGGCGTGCGGGCGGGCGGGCGGCGGGCGTGCGTTGCGTGAGTGTGTGCGGGCGGGCGGGCGTGCGTGCGTGCGTGTGTGTGGGTATGTGTTGTGCGGGCGGGCGGTGCGTGCGTGCGTGCGTGCGCTAGTGCGTACGTGCGTCACCCCTCGCATTCGCGATGGCTATACGGTGGGTGGGGGAGAGGTTTTAGGCGTGTGGGGTGGGGGATGGTGGAGTGGGTAGTGGTAGGGGTGGGTGATAGTGGAGTGGGTAGTGTAGGGGTGGGGGAGGGGTTAGGCGTGTGGGGGGTGGGGGATGATGGAAGGGTTGGTGGGGGTGGTGGATGGTGGAGTGGGTAGTGAGGGTGGGGAATGGTGGAGTGGGTAAGTGGTAGGGGCTGGGGGAGAGGGTTAGGCGTGTGGGGGTGGGGGATGATGGAGGGTTGATTGGGGGTGTGGGGATGGTGGAGTGAGTAGTGATAGGAGTTAGAAAGAGGAGTTGGTGAGGAAGAACAGTGGAGTGGATCGGCAAACATGCGAAACAGTGCGAATGACTGATTATTATTGATCCGTAAACGCAATAGTGGTGGCTGGTTGCGTGTGGCGTGCGTGCGTGCGTGCGTGCGTGCGTGCATGCGGGCGCGCGTACGTGCGGCGGGCGCGTGCGTGTGTGAGGACGGTGTGTGTGTGTGAGGACGTGTGCGTGTGCACGCGCAGCGTGCGACAGTTAAGTCGTTCTTCTTGGGTCACGTGACGTGATGACACGTGACATTGTCACATGTTCGAGTTTTCAGCCCGTGACCATATAACGCCGTTATATACTATATAGGGCTGCTGATCTTCATCGTCGCAGCATTTCACTAAATAATTTATACTATATCCAACACGTATTGCGCTATTCATTCATGCAATTTGCTTTGTCAATAAAAGCCTTCACTTTCACGATAAAACCTGCGATTAGCATTGTTTAAAAGTCAAGATGAAAAGAGTACAACCGCACATCGCCAAATTCAAAATTGACATTATTAGCGAGATTTTTCGGCGCATGCGCAGATAGTCCCGCTTCTATCTGTGTAAAACCGTTGTCACGACACTCATCGGAAATCTAGATAATGAGATGTTTCTGTATTACTCCGTCACAGATCAAACATTATTAATGCGGGCGCTGACGCCGCTGCAGCCCACATCGTCGAACAGAAAATTGCTTGTCCATCCGACATCGCCCTTGGCGTCCGATTGTGTTCTTCTATTGCCGATCAGATCGAGTATTAAAGAGAGAGCGGGATCCACGTTCAATGTCGTCGAGGCTTTATCAGAAGAAGCTGATGCATCTACAGGGCGTGTAGCAGGGGGTGGGGGTCCTAGGAGGTTCGGACGCCCCCCCCTGCTCGCGCAGAAAACGCATCCAAGGGAGTCTAATTTAAAAAAAAATCTGGGGAGGGTCCCCATACCCCCCTTCGCGTGCTAGACAAGTTTGGGTTTACAGTTAGACCCCTGGTACAAAATCCTGTACACCCCGCTGATCTAATGATGCGCATCGACTATTTTATTTGGAAACTCTGTATGTTGCTACACTGGGTTGTTTATATAGGCGATGCCACGTGCGCTGTAACTAGTTCAAGATCCCTCTCCTCACTCTCCTTTCCATTCTTCCCTTCTCTCTCTCCTCTCTCTTCTTCTCTCTCTCTCTCTCTCTCTCTCTCTCTCCTCTCTCTCTGTCTCTGTTTCTCTCCCCTCCTCTACCCTTTCCTCTTTTCCCTCTCTCTCCTTGCGCACGCTCTTCTCCTATCTCTCTATACTCCCATGTTCACTTACGATTTCGCTCTCGTCTCTCATCTCTCTCTGCTCTCGCTCTCTCTTTCTCTCAATCATCTCCTCTCTCGTCTCTCTCTCTCTCTACCTCCACGCTCTCTCTCCTCTCCTCTCTGTCGATCTCCTCCCTCTCGTCTCCTTTCATACGCGTCAGGGGCGTAGCACAAGTATGTAGGCACTGTAGCCGCTACACTTTTTTTGGGCCAAGTTATCTTTTTTTTTAAAACACAGGTAATTCAAATCCATAAGCTTGCTGGACGAGTTTAAGAGTTAGGAGAAAAAACTTATTGAAATGAACGTAGCAAGAATATGGCTAATTAGGTGACGATAGTTCTTCTGTCATCTAGGCTGTCATTTCGTATCGGGTGCCGGTTTCTCATTCAACACTCTACACCGCCGGCGAAAAAACACTAGGATCGGCGATTTGGTCAGTTTTTAACATTTTAACATCGTTCGTAAACACTGATTTTGAACATCGTTGTGTTTTTTGGGTTAAAGTGGATATTGAAATTAGTCTCTCAAGTTGCGAGAGTAGGGAAAGAGATGAACACTCGGGAAAGGCCGTTTCCGGCCATCCTGGGGGGGTTTGTAAACGCAAAGAAAAAAGTTTCTTGTAACGCCTCCGCGCCAACCGATTGGTCGGCGCTCGCTCAGATAGTCGATGGGCCTACGAACTTTGAAAATTCCTGGCTACGCCCCTGACGTCATACTGCGCGTGTGTATAACGCTCAGATCTTCGACGCACGCGAATACTAAGCTGAGCAGTTAGATAGATCGTCTTGCAGACTTTTTCTAATCCTCACCCGGTATAGAAAACAGCGTCCCGCCTGCGACAGAAATTGTTTTCTAAGCGTTGTCAACATTTCGGCGAGGTATAGCACGGCACAGCGCTGTGTCAACTCCCACAGGACGCATTATTCACGCAGCGGCGCCAAACACGGCCGTGTTATAAATGTGTATGTGTGTGTGTGTTGTGTGTGTGTGTGTGTGTGTGTGTGTGTGTGTGGTGTGTGTTTTGTGTGTGTGGTGTGTGTGTGTGGTGTGTGCGTGTGTGGTGTGTGTGTGTGTGTGGGGCGTGCGTGTGTGTGTGTGTGTGTAGTGTGTGTGTGTGTGCGTGCGTTGCGGCGTGTGTGTGTGTGTGCTGTGTGTGTGTGTGCGTAGTGTAGTGTGTGTGTGTGTGTGGTGTGTGTGTGTGTGTGGTGTGTGGTGGGCGGGGGTGAAGTATATAGCAGCATCTGCTATGTTAGTGAGTCGTTCAGCCACTGCTGCTCAATAATTTTGGTCGGATTTCTCCGAATATTTCGCGTGTCGCGTGACGAAATTGATCCTATCCGCCAGCTGATTGAACGCGCTCCCTGTCTCTGTCACTCTCTCCTTCTCCTCTCTCTTCTCTCTC